GCAGACCTTTTCTTTTCTGTTTCATTATTTGCGGCTAATTTATGTGGAGCGTTTTATATGAGATGGTATAAGAAATTGATCTGAATAGGATAAACTGCTGATAATCTTCCTCATCTTTGGTGATTATGATCTCTCTACTCATTTGTTAGCACTAATCACCTCTTACGAGATGGGGTTACTTGCAAGTACATCTCTAGTGTATTGCTTTCTCTTTGTGTTTTATTTGCACCCCCGCCCCCCCCCCCCCCCCCCCCCCCCCCCCCACACACACACACACAAAAAAAACAAAAAAAACAAAACAAAAACAAAAACTTAAAAACAAAGAAAAAAGATATACCTTCAGTTGTTCTAAAGCCCCCTCCACTTATTCTCTGAAATGTTATTTTTCTGAAAGATACGTTGCAATTAACACCCCTCTTACTCATGAAATTGAGGGGGCTAAGAGCTAATAAATGAATCAAGGACAATTTAATGCAACTGAAGGTATATGAGGTACACAAAGAGTCTTTATGACTGAAGCATTTTTTGATTTAAAATTCCCCAACACAAGTCGTATATATAATGGGATATGCCTATGAGGTGGTGGGGATTAGCAACTTACTGTCTTCATTTCCTTTTTATTTTTTATTTCCAGAAGATCTTTTGTCAGTGATCCACATATAACCCAAAAATAAGGTTAATTTGTCTTAAGATTATTCTAGAATTTTGTTATGTTCGTTGTATATGAGTTAAGTTTATTTAGAAGTTCTTTGAATAACTAATTGGTTTTAATGCTCCTTAAACTTATTGATGACATTGTTTCATAAGGTTATTCTATTGTATATAGTAAATGAGTTAAATTTATTTCAGAAGTTCTTTGGATCATATATTGGTTTTCTAATGCTTCTTCAAATTTGTGTGTATACGTTCTTGGTTTTCTCAGCCTCAACAGAGAAATCCTTGTATGATAGAAAGTCGAAGTACACTAAAACTTGCTGAAACTGGAATTTAGAAGGATAATTAAGAAAACGAAGACTTGACGACTATATTCTTGAAGAAAGCTAATACATGGTCACATAGTGAGGACAACTTCATACCATCGATAGAGAGGCACTCGGGGATCGCTTCCACCTCCTATGAAATCATACAATGTATATGAGCCGTATCCGACTCATGAAAACAGCAATGGCGACTCTGCAATGGTTCTCTCTGAACATTGTTCAAATATGACTTGGTTTACCTTATTGAAGAGGTTTTTGTTCAACTTTGTCCAGTTTTTTGTTATTTTGTTAGTGTTTGTATATACAGGTTTCCTTCTGTATAGCTTAGGGTGGAAGTATGTTGTATGGGTATTAGTTTACCATTGTATTGTTGAAGATGGTAGGTTTTTTTTTATAAAGAACTTGTCCAGTTTCTATAAGCTTTGTGATTACAACAAATAGAAAAGTATATCTAGGTAATATTTCGTTTGGGCTATTTCTACTTGTCCAAACGGTTGTAATAACCGTTTGGACTGTCCTGTTTTGTACTAGTGTATGTTGTATGTGTATTAGTTTACCATTGTATATTTTCTAAAAAAAAAAGTTTACCATTGTATTGTTGAAGATGGTAGGTTTTTTTTAAAGAACTTGTCCAGTTTCTATAAGCTTTGTGATTACAACAAATAGAAAAGTATATCTAGGTAATATTTACTATTTTCAGCTTTCTGGACAGGAGCATGTATGTACGCGTGTTCATTTGTAATACGTGATCCTTAGTTACAGGTGCCAACCCCCTACTCAGAACTTTTCTCCGGGAGGCAAAATCCCAACTCAAACTTAACCTGAATCAACAAACAAACAGAATATTCGACAACTACACGATGACTCGGGAGGCGGCTCTTGCCCAGAAACGACTATATTCATCGCAAACAAGAGATTTCTTGCTTACGATCCGATAAATCTCAGTAAAGTGCAGTGAGTAACGCAGTCTCGACATTGGCAGCATCAAGCGCAGAAGTCTCCATAGAGAAGATATTCTCTTTCAATTCTCAGCCAATTCTTGAGCATCCTCAGTCGGAACTGCACGCAGAGTTCCAATGTCAGACTTGCTGCCAATGAGCACGATGACGATGTTCTTGTCTGCATGGCTTCGGAGCTCCTCGAGTAACCTCGCCGCCGCGTGATCGAAGGTCACACACGGTTGGTCATGTCGTAGGCTAGCATTGCGCCCACTGCTAATTCTCTGTAGTATATGCGCACTGGAGCAACTGAAGTTAAAAATTCCAAGGGACACACATTCGACTTAGACTTTAGATAGTCCCCTTGCAGTTCTACTGTTGCAGATAGAACACTGTAATTTTTTCATTGACTCTTACAAGAGAAAGAAATTATTATTTTTCAAAAACAGACCTCCTCAAGGTGAAAGAGTTGAAATATTTTCACTCAAGTGGTCTATCTGCAACAACAGAACTACGGGGGGCCTATCCGCAATTAACCCTTAAAAAATAGTGCTGTGCCAAATGGTCCAGATAACTGGCCCATGAAAAGGTGCTCGACCACCAAGGCCATGCTAGATTATAAAATTATAACCCACAATCTTCCCCACAGCTCTGAAGTTTTGGGGCAACTGAAGGGCTTCAACATAACTTTCGAGTTTTGATGTAGTGGAGGAGACCCTAAGCGAAATCCGATAATAGTATTTTGGCATGCGATCGTAACCGTGACATGAGCAGGTCTTAGCCATCTATCTAATAGCTAACGAATCGAGGGCGTTATTATGTGATAAAAGGAAGTCATAAGGTCATGTTATGAAGTTCTGCAGATAAAGTGATGTTATGAATTTTTAACTTGTTAAATGAACTAAACTAGTTCCAATTAATAGTTTTCTTTTATCGAACACGAAACCAAACAACAAATCTAATAATTTCAGATGAAGGAAATGGAATGTTTTCTTTGTGCTGATGCGATCTTATACTAACACTCGAGGGTGACAAAGAAAAAAAAGAGAAATAAACTAACAAAGTTACAAAATAAAATTCGAGTTTGTCGCACAATTGCGGGGAGAAATAGCGAGCTCTGATGAATAAAATGTTTTGATTAAAGAGTGGCTTATATGAATGACGGGAGTACATAATTACAAATTCAATAACTAAATTATTTTATTGCGTTTTTTGAAATTTATTACATTCCTCATTTACCTTCATTTAATTCTATAACTAGCTTAAAGAGCAGCAATGATTGTACCATAAAATTTATAATACTTTTGCACTCCCACAACTAGAAAAGTAGGGTTCATAACGACTCATAAATTTTCTGGACAATTTTCAAGAAAGAGCCCCAGATATTCGTGAGTGATAGTACAAAAATTGTATGTGAGCTTGTAATATAATAATTATTTTCCTAGCCTAAAACATGTTATCACAAATCGCAATTAAATGCTTTAACTATCTTGATATATTGTGACTGGGCTTAATCATAGGCCTTAATTGGGCTTTTAAGTTTATAGAATCTGGCGTTCAATGAAAGGTTGACTTTTTCTTCGAGTTCCAACATGTAGGCCCATTTAGTTTAGCCCAGAATCTTCTGGTCGAACTCCGCCAAGTTGAACCCATAAATCGAAAGATCAAATTTCTGGATCTCAATCATCATCTCCTACTCCGGATCATTCAGCAGCTCGACGGGAGGAAAATAAGTAATTTCTTCACACGCTTCTCATCGATTTTATCGAATTTTTTTGTTTAGATCTAGGTTTTTATTACGTTAATTTTCGAAATTCGATCCACGAAAACCCTAACGACATTTTCTTTTCTTTTCTTTTCTTTTTTCACGCTGAAGGAGTTTTCGTTGCGAGGCTCGGTGGTGATCTAGATGTGAGTTTAATCCTATCTCTTAGATCTGACTGTAGTTTCTTATGCTTTTAATTCGGATGCGCTTAATTCTGAATCCTGAACGTTTGTAATAAAGTTGTCATTTTTGGCGCAATTGCCAATCTCAGTTATCAATTGATGAGTTTAAATCGATTTGAATAAAGTATAGAAGAAAATGATTAGAAGCTCATGTGAGGATTAGCAGTATGATTAGAAATGCGTTGCTTTGTTTGATCAATGGTTTTTTTTTCCTCCCAAGTTTGTTGTCGTTGTACGGGAGTTCCATAGTTCTGAGCTACATCATTTTTTTTTTGCCCAAGGGAGTTCCTACTGCTTCATTACTCTTGTGCACGTTGTTTTTAATAATTTATGTGCTCTCTAGTCGCTAGTAGATTGGTAACCGTGATTTGATTCGGGTCTTTGTTAGTTTTGCACCTCATGGGTGTTCTAACAATTTGCATCATCATCTTACTGCTCGGTTAAGCTCTTTACCACCGCCTCATAATCTGTTCGTGCTAAAGCTGGCAACGTGTCATAAAAACTTCAGCTTTTTTGCTGAATTCTCTCAACTTTAATTGTGTTCCATATTTCACCTCCTTTGACAGGTTTAAGAACGGCCGATATGATAAATCTTTTGGGTTGATCTAAAGTGTAGAAAAAAGAAATAATCCTTTCTACGGTGTTTAAGTTTTTTCCCGTGTTTTTTTTTTGGGGGGGGGGGGTGGGGTGGGGTGGGGGGGGGGTGGGGGTTGCGTTTAAGAGGGCAAAAGGAAGTTGTGAAATATATATATTCAATTGTTAAAAATCTTTTTGGTCAGCTCATCTGTCAGTACATAATTTATTTGAAGAGGATATATCATACTAGTACTAGTAAACAGGTAAAATCGTACGATGAAGCATTCAAATGAGATTCTGCTAAATGAGGAGTAAATGTGGTGATTTGCTTATATTCCTGTCAATAAACCAAGCAAATCCTATACAATAATTACTCATAGGAAACATGAAGAACGAATACTTATCAGCTTTATCCCCTAGTTAAAGACAACTTGCTCCACTTGGAAATATTACATGTGAATTTTCTTGGAGAAGATCAATTTATCATGACAAAGATTTGAAGTTTCAGATGACAATACACATTAGTTGTATCATACAAGATGTTAAGCGTAACCAACCACACCACCATTATTAGCTGATAACAACTAATGCAGAGCATTATTCATTCCAATAACTAATATAGGTGGAGATTTAAGATCTAGAAGTATCAAAAATTAACCTGACAGTATTATATTGAAAACATGAAAGATTAAGTCAACGATAAAAAGCGCATGACCAAATTAACTTATTCCATGTACTAATGCATCTGTTCCAAATTGTAAGTCAAAACTTCTGAATCCCCTATACTGGTATCAATAAAGACAAATCTAAAGACTGGTCCAAAGAACGAGAGTCGGCTTCCTTGAGGGAGTTCTTCCTCAGTAGCTCAGTGGTAGAGCGGTCGGCTGTTAACTACAGATATTTATGTGCTTTACCTGTAATTTTATAAGCATAGATACAACATTTTTTTATGTGCTTTGGCCGTGATTCAATCTGTATCTTACATTTTAGGGCTGACGAAGAGCTTGTGGACCCGAAGAGGTACCTTGAAGACCGTTGCCAACCAAGATGTGTAAAAGCTTTATATGAATACAAGGTAATGTGTTGGTTTTCTTAATGAGAGCTTCTCTCTCTATTTACTGTTCTTGATTGTTGTAACCTTAGGGTCTCTTTGGTTAGCATGGTGTTTTTAATGTTTTGTTTTGTTTTTATATAAAAACACCGGGTGTTGTGTTTTTCTCCAAACCTGTTTTGGAAACATCATGATGTTTCCTCCAAAACTATTTTCCAAATACCATCAAGCACTACTTCCAAACTTACGGCCACTGATGTCATCTCTACTGCCTTCGTGACACTGCCAGCTTCAAAAACACCACCTCAAAAACACCACCTCAAAAACACCACCGGCTCCAACAACACTGTCGGCTCCGTTGACAATTCCATTGGAGAAAATTTATAAAATTAAAGAAAAATTAGAAAAAGGGGAAAAAAGAATTAAAATTCATAATCATTGCCCAACAAAATTTTGAGAAGTTTGGAACAAATTACAGAAAAGAAAAAACTTAGGGCAAAATAAGATTGACACAAATTAGGCCAAAATTACAATAAATTTGTGCAAATGGAGGAGAGATCGAGGAGAAGAGAAAGTAACTGAGAGGGAAAGATATAAGTATTGAGGAGAGAAAGAGAATACCTAAGGAAAACCACCACCGTCAATTTTAATGCTCATCTCTTTCATCATCTCCATCAACCCAAAAATCGCTGATCATTAAATCCCCAAATGTCTTTTCTCGAGGTAAGCAACAAACCCTAATTCAAATTCACTCTCTCAACCTCTCAATTGACCTCAAATTCTTTCTACAACCTCTCAATTAACCTCAATTCTTTTCTATATCTCGATTTCAATCTAGCTCTCACCCTCTTTAGCTCTAGAGTTTACTATGAATCACATACTAAAGGCGTCCATGTCGCTCGAGTCCTCGAGTCCTGCTCCGGTGACATCGTCGACGAATGCCACAACAACGCCACGATGTTAAAGATGAAAATGGGGGCAACATTCATGATGCGGAGGCGATGGTGGGAAGGTGTAGTTATGGGGCTAATGTTATAGAAGGCGCTAGTCGGACTAAGCGTTTGAGCCGGGGCTTAGCACCTAAGCGTTTACCTATTTTTTAATTTATTTAATTATAATAATTCATAAAAATATGTATTAAGTTCATATAAAATTACAAAAAAACATAAATAACAAGATTAAATTCATAATCAACCATGCATAAATACTAAAATTGAACTAAGATTAACTAAAATTGAACAAGATTAAACTAAAATTGAACAAAATTAAACCAAAATTGAACAAGATTAAACTACAATTAACTTAATTAAACCAAATTGAAGAAGATTAACTATTTAAATTTAAAAACAGTTTATAAGTGAAAATTTTACCTAAAACAGTAAATAAGTTAAAAAATAGTTTATAAATTAAAAAAATTGAAAATTTTACCTGAACGGTGGGAGAAGACTGGCGGGAGAAAGGAGCGGTGAGAGAGGACCGACGGGAGAAGGGGGACTTAGGAGAGGGAGACGAAAGGTCAGAGAGGGAGATATGGCGAACCGGCGCTGCAACGAGAGTGATTTAGCGCAGCAAGAGGCGAGATAGCGGGAAGGCGGGGGAGAGAGTTTAGAGCAGAGAGCAGAGGGAGAGACCAATGAAGGAGAGGGGGGGGGAGTGAGCGAGAGAGAAATAGGGAAGGCGAGCTGTGTGCGCGGAGCAATATAGCAGAGAGTGATGTGAGATAGGGTTAGCTATTAGTCATTATGGTTATGGTCTTGAGTTCTGTTTTTTTCCAAAAGCCTCAGGCAGTGCGCTAGGTGGAGATAGCGGCCGCCTTCGGCCATTTTTAGGCGGCCGAAGCTCTGCCTAAGCCTAGGCGGACACCTAGGCGTCCGTCTAGACCACTTTTTATGACATTGTTTGGGGGCTCATGATGGTTAAAGGGTAAAAACTAAACGCTTTTCTGAAAACACCTTCTTGGTGTTTTTAGAATAGCGTTGTGGTTTGGCCCTTTGGGCCTACTGTGCTTTAGCCTAAAAAAAAAACGGCTGGATTCCTAAACACGTTTCATTTATTTTCTAGCAAAAAGAAAACGAAAACACAACAAACACCACGGTTCCCAAGCATAGCCTTAGTTTATATTGAAGTTGGTACATGAGTGGACTGCTCCCCCCCCCCCACACACACACACACAACAAACATCCTCACTATGAAATTGGTAGACAGTCCACCTTTACAGCCCTTTTTGTGTGCTTCTCTTTCATATCATGTTTTTATAGTAAGAAGAATTCAAGTCATTATGTAATCTTGAGGGCTTCATTTTGGTGTCTAGCCATTGTCATTTCCTTGACCAAAACTTCTTGGGCTTCATATCAGAGTTTTAAACTCGGAAAAACTAAGTGAATATGGTTAATTAGCTGGTTACTTAAGTGGTAAACAAGCCTATGCAAAGTTTTCCCCCTCCCTTTCTTTCTTTCTTTTCAGCAAGTTGAAAGCTCATAACAAGAATGCCATTGCAATGAACTTCTCGTTCTAAAATGTTAGTACATAAAAGGATGTCAAAGAACATAAATAATAGAAGAAACATAAATAAGAACATGTCTCTCATTGATTTTAGAGCAGACTAACAACAATAAGAATAAAGAAGCATGGGATATATTAATAAATACATCCTCGGAGATTCTTATGACAAGTTGTTCTCACTTCCAACATGTAAAGGAAAATTCATTATGTGCTCGGGTATCCATAATTCAGAGTAATAATAAAAGGTAAATTTTGAGTCTATCCAACAAAATAGCAACCAATTAACCAAGCAAAATAAGACTATTTGGCAATTTTCATCCCGACGACCATTCTCTAATAAATCTTGCAAAATTTTATCATGACCCTTGGTTGAATCATCTGATTCAGTTGATAGGAGGAGGACAATGAGGCTTCTACTAGCATACTCTTCGCCTCTGTTTACCATTAACAATTCATAAGCCTCATTGCAACATTCACATCTTCCCAACTCCTAGACTATTTCTCAATGTTAGTTGGCCCTTTAAGGGAACTACACATAAATATAGATCTGTTCGGTTCAGATCTTATAATCTTTTTCTAAGGTACCACTTCACTTGAATATGTGCTTTCCCTTCCTCTCTAATTCCTTACCATCTCAACTCCATGTCTCTTTGATATTTACTTCTCGTACTTATCTGATGTCCTTATCATCATTCCATCTTGTTCTTTTTCCTTATTTACTCAGGAACTACTATCATTTCTTTCCTCACACTACAAACTCTACACGCAAGGGATTTCTTTCCTAGTCGCTATTTGTAGAGCCTGAAAACTCCAATTGCTTAGCATTTAGTTTTGTTGTCTTTATGGAGATTGACATATGCCCTGTGATCTTAATCCTGTTTTGCAAATTTTGAGGCCTTTACTGAAGGCATCTCTTCCCCCAAGCAACAACACTATCCTACCCACTACCCACCACCCGACCCACACTCCACTCCCCACTCCCCACTCCCCCCACTCCACTCCCCCCTCCTCACTCACACACATATAAATAAATGAATAGTTTAGATTTAAATTAAATAAAAGATTAAAACATAAATAAATAATTAGAAACATAGAAGAAAAGACAAAAAGGAACCCTTGGACAATAGAAAAAGAAGCCAAGAGTTAGTGAACTAGAAAAACGGTGAATAGAAAGAAAAGGGAGTCAGAAGAAGGGAAAAGAAAGATGAAGGTGTAAAGGAAAAACATAGAAGGAAGGGGAAATAGGAAAGGGAATAGATATGATATATGCCCAGAGGTAGGTGGCCTAGAGCAGGACACTCAAGGGTAGGATTGAAGTTGAATCTTGAAATGCATTTTTGAAACTCAAAAGCTGTGACCAAATGCAGCAGGGTATGACTAACTCGGCCTATTGCAGCTCCATCAACAATGCTGCAGTAATTGTCCAAATAGCCTGTTTTTCATCTCATTTTCTTAAATAAAAAAAGGAAAAACAAAAGAAATCTATGAGAAAGAGAGAATGCAGTTCTTATAATGTTATGACCCTTGCTCTTCTATAAACAATGAGATTACTAACTTCTATGAAGCTTATATCCTTGCAAATCATTTTGAACCTTCTACTAGCCCATAGTATTTGGTGCACAGTGACGTTAAGTTGCAGGCATGACAAATTTGTTAATGAACTCTACCATTTCTTAAGCATATAATCTTCACGGAATTACATGGTGGTTAAATAATATGGATGAGTAAACACATGATGGTGCAAGAGGAAACACAAAAACAAATCTATTTTTTCACCCATCACGTTGTTATCTTGTTCGTAAGAAAATAATTTGGCGGTGAAGTAGGTATTATACGCAATCCTGGCATTTTGATTTACGAAAGTAAAATAGCAAACAAGTGTTGTCTCACTTTTCTTGTTCATATTCTGTTTTTTAATCAAAAAATCTTTAGTTAAATCTTGGGTACCGTGATGCTGAAATAATATCATTATGTACAGGAATGTGTTAAGAGGATCAAAGACGATGAAACCGGGAACAAGCACTGTACTGGTCAATATTTTGATTATTGGTCATGCATTGACAAATGCGTGAGTACATCTCTTCAAATCTTATTGCACCTATTATTTCAGTCTTAATTTCAGTCGTCGCTTGCAATCTTTTGAAATATTCGACGAGTGTTGACCTATAATAATAAAAAAATGAATCTTTAAATGGTGCACTTTGAATGCAGGTTGCTCCGAATCTTTTTGAAAAACTGAAATAAAACGATCAAAGATCAGCCTTTTTGACGAGTGAAGTTCTACTGCTCCTTGATTCATCGACAATAATTGCTACTTTTAGTGAACTGTAAGCCACAACTGTGTGCATATTTGATGATGGCCGAGTCCTGGGCCAACTCATTTTTGCTCCCTAGATGATTCCTCAGCTGTTGCTATAATCTGCAATCTTTGATGGCAGACCAACAACCATTCAGTTAATAATACTGTGATGAAACTTTTCAGGGTGCCTGTATGTTCTGCATCCTATCTGTATCATCATTATAAGCACAATAATTAATGCGTTACCTTTTTTCCCCCCCTTTTTTTCTGAGACAAGACTCTCTCATCCACTGACTGATGATTAGTGTACAAGGCCGCAAACCTTTTATTTCCTTTTCCATTATTTGTGTGCTAATTCATGTGGAGCTTTTTATATAAGACTTATATCACATGAGCGTGTCATTAAGTCTTTTGGGTGTCAATTTTGTCGAACAGGAAAGGATAGAGATTAGAGAGTGGAGTCGACTTTTTCTTCAAGTCCACAAGGAGCCTAACCACTATTGTCCCCCTTTAAAAAAAAAAAAAAAAAAAAAAAATTTTTCTAACCACTATTGTCCCCCTTTAAAAAAAAAAAAAAAAAAAAAAATCTTTTGGTTTTGATTCTCTTTAAAGAGAAAAAAGAAAATCTCTTTGGTTCATGAGGCACGTCGGCTGCGCAAAAGATTTGAGCCGACGCCGTGTCGAGTCACTCCCCAATCCTTCTGTTCGAGTGAGCATCTTTTTCGGAGTGGTTATCCAAGTGAATTATCATGAGAATTTTATCAATTTGTTTTAAGGGTCAGTTGCGCGTGGGCCCCTTAGTATTGTTTGTTTTTGAGTTTGCTACCCGCGTAATTTCATTTTTCCAGATAGGCTTCACGCGTTGGAATTTTTTTTTTTTTTTTTTGGAACACCTTTACTTACTCTCATATAGACTCGCTATTCGCTTAACACGCAGGGCCAACATCGGTTAAATTTTCGCCGAAGGTAAAACTGTCGAAAAAAAATTAGCTCAGGGTATGAACACACTAAGGGTATGGCAAAACAAGAATACTACAGGGGTCTATATGAAATTAACCCTTGTTTTACGAGTTTATGATTTTTTTTTGGATTTATTTTGTATTAAGGTTCGCTTGTAGGCGCATAGTGTGAGTGGATGAACACACCAAGGATGAGAGAGGCAGTAAGAGAAAACCTTCATTATAAGGAAAGAACTAAAATGAAGGGGGTGTTTGGTTCACTAGTTTTATACAAAACTTTAAGGAAATTGACCGATAGTGTTAAGGGGCTGTTTGTTTCCTTATGAGAATTTTATCAATTTGTTTTAAGGGTCAGTTGCGCGTGGGCCCCTTAGTATTGTTTGTTTTTGAGTTTGCTACCCGCGTAATTTCATTTTTCCAGATAGGCTTCACGCGTTGGAATTTTTTTTTTTTTTTTTTGGAACACCTTTACTTACTCTCATATAGACTCGCTATTCGCTTAACACGCAGGGCCAACATCGGTTAAATTTTCGCCGAAGGTAAAACTGTCGAAAAAAAATTAGCTCAGGGTATGAACACACTAAGGGTATGGCAAAACAAGAATACTACAGGGGTCTATATGAAATTAACCCTTGTTTTACGAGTTTATGATTTTTTTTTGGATTTATTTTGTATTAAGGTTCGCTTGTAGGCGCATAGTGTGAGTGGATGAACACACCAAGGATGAGAGAGGCAGTAAGAGAAAACCTTCATTATAAGGAAAGAACTAAAATGAAGGGGGTGTTTGGTTCACTAGTTTTATACAAAACTTTAAGGAAATTGACCGATAGTGTTAAGGGGCTGTTTGTTTCCTTTTTTTGAGAGGAAAAGGTGGGGAAAGCCTGCCAAAAGTGCAGCTTTTGGCAGGCTTTCCACCCAAATCTCCTCTATGGCAGGCTTTCCACCCAAATCGCCTCTAAAAGAGGCGATTTGGGTGGAAAGCCTGCCAAAAGCTGCACTTTTGGCAGACTTTTGGCAGGCTTTTCCTATCTTTCCCTCTCAAAAAAAAGGAAACAAACAGCCCCTAAATCTATAAATAAAACTTTTTCCACTATTTCTGAAAACTGTGTTTGGTTCTAAAAACAATTTATAGAAAAGTTTTCTATAAAGTATAGAAAAGAGTGACATTTTACAGAAATCAATTTCAGCTCAGAGATAGCTGAAATTGGAGAGAAATCTAACAAACTCGACCGCGCTCCGATTTGAGGTAAAAAAAAAAAACTAATCCCTAGGCTATTCAGATCTGAGACTGTTGAGATTTTGGTGATGATTTCGTGCTGAGGACGATGAATGTTGTTAACAAATTATTGTTTTAAGACCCTAGTTAGGGGAACAAGCATTAATAGTGCGAGTGAATGAACTCGCCAAGGATGAGAGAGGCAGTACGAGAAAACCTTGATTATAAGGAAAGAACTAATATGAAGAGAAGGGGGGAAAAAAGAAGAATCCTATATATTACGATTTATTAGTATTTAATACCATCATGAACATCTATGTAGTATGATGAGCTTGCAAAGAAATGTGCCCCTTACTTTAGCTTGGGAATCCTTTTTGTTATTGCACTCTTGAACGTTAGAAGTCCTCAAATCTCCTATTGGGTAAAATCTGGTTGCTACATTGAATTTACATATACTATGATAAAAACTAAAATGGTGACTCAAGTAGTTAAAAAAGCAAGGGGGAAAACACACAAAACAAAATTGCTTAGAAGTTCCAAAACGCATTCACAATTTACACTTGCATTTCATTTCATGTAAGAAGTAAGATCCATCTGACATCTTTCACTCGTTGACTAACTGTGGTTGCCATTTTTTTGGGGTTCGAATACTTAGGTGTCAGGTGCTACGGTATTACAACCAACTCCTTTGTTTGGTTCGTTAAAATGTACGCGGTATTGTAGCTGAGTTGGCAAAAAGTAAGGAATTAGCCTTCCATTACTGTACTTGCCGGCCCAACCAGACCACTCAATTCCGCGGTACTGTAGCCACTGCCCGTTTTTTAAAAAAAGGAACCAAACAGGCTAGTTCAAAACTATGTACAACACTGTTCACTTAACTTGACTCCCTATAATTGTGTACAAACCCTTCGGGTTCCAGAGGCACAACAATCGAATGAACCGCACCCGACCCACTTCGACCCGCATCCGCACAACCCGAACTCTTCTCCGCCGACGTGAACAAGCACTGCCTACACGTGGGACACGACGGCCGAGTCATCAGCCACCTATCAATGCACTTCACATGAAACGCGTGACTGCATTTGGGCAACACCCGGATCCGTTCGCCCGTTACGAGATCCGATAAGCAAATCGCACACTCCGAACCCGACCCGTGTAATTTCAATTCGGGCGAGTAAGCCATAATGGGTATCGCCCGAAGCGCTTTCCTCCTTACGCCCGCCGTCGCTAGACGGATCGCGTGACCCGGTTCGGGTTCGAGCCCTACCCGACTAGAGCACCGGAGAGCACACCTGACGATCGAATTGAGACCAAGGGCGCAGATTAAGGCGCAGAGAAGCACGGCCAGGATCATGACGACGTTGGCGTCGAGGCTGTTCGGGGGAGTATTGGCTTCGGGTGTGCCCGGATCCGATAAGACCGGGCCGGGTACCGGTGTGTTCGGGTTCGTACCCGGTTCATATATCGGGGTGCGTAACAAAAGCCTCCTCGAGTAAACTTGAGTGAGGAGAAAGGGAGTACTTGTGGATGACATTTTGTTGAATGATTGTTGTTGAGGGTTTTGAGTGAGTAATTCTTGGCGAGGTGTTTGAAGGGAGCATTTATAGAGGGAGTTGGGCATTGGGCTTTTGGAGATTATTATTATTATTATTAAGATAATTACGGCTAATTAAGATGTGAATTGAGATTATTAAAGTTGTAAGGGGGTCCACCAAAAATGAGTGCACTTTGCAATTTGGGTAGGTGCTCATTGGCTTATCAGGGCTTTAGAGCTCAAGGTATAGTTTTAGATGGGCTATATATTATGAGAGAGAATCCTAGGAGCAATATAAAAGATTTTGGAAGATGAAAACAAATATGTCACGTATCCATTATTGTTTGCTTTCATGTCTATTCGATAGATCACATGCATCAGTAGACATATATCTTGCATGACACCATTAGTGCTTTGATCAGTAGTTTCTGTTTTTATAATAGACATGCGAACGAATGAAAAATTAAGTAAATTTCTTCTGAGAAAGGAATAGATAGAATCAAACTTGGAAATATGAGCAAGATATTTATAAAAGAAAGCAGATAAATGAGAATGTCATAATATTTTTCCCCCTAGCTAGTTATGATCAAAATTTTATTCCTATTTTTCTCTACTATATATAATTATCGTTAAAACCTCAACACCATTAGAATATTTAATTTTTTGTCTATACGGTTAGAAAGAAGCCTAACTAATTAATTTCAGGAATAATATCGATTTTTAGCCATAAACTCAACTCACGTGCCTGTGTCTTTAGGGCCTATTTGGATAGAGGAGAACACCCGAGAAGGAAAGGTAGATGAACCTATTCATCCCGTTTGAGATATTAGAAATTAACTAAGGTCTCGTTTGGTAAAGGGTTAAGGAAGAGGGGTTAAAGAGAAGGATTAATGTACTTAGTCTATTCGATAATCTGAATGACTAAATTATTAATCAATTAAATAAGTTTTATTTAAGCCATTGTGATCAGTTTTAGTGTTTGGGAATAACAATGATTTTGACTATTTTCTTTATAATTAGAAGGGGTTTTAGTGTTTGGGAATAACAATGATTTTGACTATTTTCTTTATAATTAGAAGGGTTAACTCTTAATCATTCTAAATAGGAGTATTAGTAAACCCCTTATTTTGAGGGGTTAACTCATTTTAATCCCTCTAGAAGGGTTAGTTTAACCCTCCTATATTTTTTATGTTTGGCAAATTATGGAGGGTTAACTCACTTTAACCATTGTATAGATTTTTTGTGTTTGGCGGGTTAAAAAGGGACTAAGGGGCTGTTTGGTTCGCTATTATAAGGGGTGGAAAACTCAGAAAACCCCTCCACGTCAGATTTTTAGCCCTCCGCGTCAGGTTTTTTGTTTCCGTCCATTTCTTTGTGCCGCTTTGGTTCGCTCGGATGGAAGAGGGAAAACTCTGCTGAAATCGCCGCCAGCTCATTTTTTTCCTCTCCGATTTCCTTCCCCAACCGAGTGAAATTGATGAAAACTCTGCCACGTCAGATTTTTTTCCTTCTCTGCTTTGTTTACAAAAGTTTTTTTTTCTATGCGAATCAAACACAAGAAAAATAAATACATTGGTTTCTCACCATTTTTTTTGTGAGAACTAAAGCAAAACAATCTATTTCTTGAAAAAGTTTGGAAAACTCAAAACTTGTATTTCTTTACATGGAATTGCATTTCCCTATATCAAGGAAACAAACCAAACAGACCCTAAGCCTCTTTAACCTCTCACTTAACCCTTTGCCAAACAGTACTTTAGATTGTTGGATTTTGTTAGATCTAATAACCTAGATTACCCAACAATCAATAGAAATTTATTACCCTCCAAAATTTAGTGGAATATAGGAGATCCTCCAAAATTTAGTGGAATATAGGAGATCGAAGTGAATTCTCTTGGCTTTTCTTTTCTCATCTCCTCTATTTTCCCTTAACTTTAATTTCCCTGACCCAGTGAAATTCAAACATGTCTTTAGTATCAGATACTAATTACCTGTATGACTAAGTTTCTCGAATATTCAGTAGGATCATCTAAAGTTGCATGTTCTTAAACGCACTTAATATTGCTTAATCAATTTATTTAATTAATCAACTTATCCTCTTGAGTCTCCACTACGAAAACAGCACTTTTCTCATTGGGCCCACGCGCCGTTTTTAACGCACGGGATAGTGCCACGTGTATCTTTGTCTTGTCCGAATTGTAAGCCATATGGTTACGTGTCAAAATGTGATTGCACGAGGCTCACTGCTCTGCGGGTTTTGAGTTTCATCCTTCGCTAGTGGTAGCAGTTTTTGTCTTCAGAACTTTCTTTAATTGATAATGCAACTGCTAATTAAACTTCTTTTTGGAGAAATTAAATCTAATAAATAGATGTAAATCTTTATGTACACCTTTTTATAATTAAAGAGACTAGCGGTGCGGTGGTTGTTTATAATTTTTTGTATATTTATTCAAAAAGAATTTTGTGTTTCCCTTAAAGAACTTTCTATACGTACAATATTTGATCAAATTGTTATGCATGTGTGCTGAATATTTTACTAAATATTTTACCAAATAGGCAAATAGCCCCTAAAATTTTTTCTCAAAAAATAGCCCTTAAAATTTATGGAAGCATTTGGTAACCGTGATGTTTTCTTTGTTTCTATAGTGTTTTGCCAAAATAAAAACATAATATATGCTTGAGAGCCATTGTGTTTTCATGGGGAAAACAAAACCCTTATGGCCAAAAAGCTAAACTAAAACACTTATATCAAAACATATTTTAGGTGTTTTTATGTTTTGAGTCATGGGAGGCATTTTCAATTTAATAATATAATGTTTAATATATTATAATTAATATAATATATTAATCATTCATAATATAATATATTATAAAATACTAATAATTAATATAATATAACATATATTTATTATGATAGATTAGTTTATATTTTAATATAATATAATGTATTATAATAATATAATATATTATAATATTTATTTATTTATTAACTCAATAGAATATATTATAGTACAAAAAAATATGATAATATGTTGTAATAAATAACATAAATATAATATTATAATATAATATGCACGTTTTAGCGTATATATATTAACTTATATTACAATATAAAAATATAATATATATTATATAATAATATACTAGAGAAAATATTACAATAGTTATTATATTATATTACATTATATTAATTTATTGTATTCCAAGAAAAAATATAAAAAATATGATGATATATTATATTATAATTTCTTAGTAGAAAACTAGTAATACATTATTTAGAATTATATTATAAATAATGTAATTAATAAACATAGTATGATTAACTTTTTTTAATGTAATATAAATTTTTATGTATTAATAAAATAATATCATATAATATATAATATATTTATAATGTAATTAATATATTATATTATCAACGTTTCAATTATATTGTATACACTATCTTGTATAATATATATTATGTAATAACAAAAGTAATATTATAATATACGTATGGAAAGGGTCAAAACTTAGATTTGATGAAATAACTTATCATGGTATTTTGAAAATATTTTTGAAAAAACATCATGACATTGTGTTTTGTGAAAAAACACCATAAAAGAATCTTTTGAATGAAGTAATATGCCAACAATTAGGGATGGAATCGAATTGTATTTGAACAAATAGTGCAAGGTTCAAATTCGAATTAGGTTTATATGGTGCTATTCGTGTTTATATTCGAACTCGACTCAAATAGTAATACAAATTCGAATTCAATTCTTTTATTTATATTGATGTTCGAAAAAAATTCGTGAATATTCGATTAGCATTATTTTGCAATTTTGATTTCGAATTATTCATCAAATATTCGATAAGTATTTGCTAATAATTCAAAAATCGTAAAAAATAAATATAATCAGTAAAAAAATATAATAGCACCGAGGGACGATGAGCTCTTCGAGGGACTTCGAGGGACGACGAGATCTCCTGTAAAACCCCGAAAATTTCTATGGTATATATATATATATATATATATATATATATGTGTGTGAATTATTAATAATAAATAACTCCCTTGTGGTGAATAACCATATAAATATAATATATATATGTTTATCAGTGTTTGGGAACCCAACGGGTATATATAAGTGAGAGAAATCGAGTAGTTTTGCGGCCACCATGTAATTTGCCATCAGCAGAAAATTTCGTGCTGATCGGTCGACCGACGCGGTCGACCGGCGCGGTCGACCGATCAGCGATCAGAGAGTTTTTTTTTTCTTTTACAGGTTTGGTTTCGGGTTTTAGTTGTTGGGCTATTGGGTTTTGGGTCGGGTTGGGGAGTTGGTATTTATACCAACTCAACCCAGGAGAGATCTCCTCAGCCCCAAACGTAAACCCTAGCCCCCCTCTCTTCTTCCTCAAAACCCTAACCTGGTTTTGGTGATCTGGGAGCAGATTAGGAGATTTTCAGTGGGATCTGGGATTTCCAGCAAAGGGATCAACCTATTTCAGATCTAGGGCTTCCCTCAGCACCCAAGGCGAGTAATTTCTCGCCCAACCCCCACCCCTTTTGGTTTAAACATCAAGAACTGAGTTTTTATTGGATTTATGGAGCCAAATTCGTATTTTTGTTTAGCTAACAGTTTACTATATCATAGAATATGGATTTGGGGCTTTATATGTTGTAAAAAAACTCACCCATGCTCTGTTAAAGAAGATCTAAATCTGAGTTTTTGCCTAAAAGAGTTTAAAACATCGTTACAGCTATTAAAATGATTTGGATTAACCTCTCATGAAATTTAAAATCTTGGAAATATAGATTTTTAAGCTTTGGAAGTGGTTTTGTATCTTCAGTATGTTTCCAATTTATTTAAGACTCATGTATCGCAAGATTTTTTTTATTTTATTTTGTTTCAGCAGCTGACAGAACCCAGGTTGGGTTCTGTTCGCTCGGCGGTCGACCGACGCGGTCGACCGCTGAGTTCGAGTGGGAGTTCCGGTCGGCCGCGACGAATATTCGGTCGACCGCGACTCAAATTCGGTCGACCGCGACATAATTCCGGTCGACCGAAGTGTCTGGCGGGCGTCCG